AGAGAGAGAGAGAGAGAGAGAGAGAGAGAGAGAGAGAGAGAGAGAGAGAGAGAGAGAGAGAGAGAGAGAGAGACAGAGAGAGAGAGAGGAATGGACGTATAAGCAAATGGAGATGCAGACGGAAGAGACAAAGGGACAGACATAACACACACAAAGAGACAGAGACAGAAATAGAGTAGGGGAGGAATAGTAGAGAAGAAAGTACAGTAAGGTGGATACAGAGGTGCAACTCCCCACAGGGTCTGCACAGTTGCTGCAATCACTGCGCGTGTGACCCCCTTTTGGCTGATTTGGACCACTTGTTCATCAGCGTTACAACTGCAGTTACGATAAGACGGTTTGAAAACCCCAACAAAACCACGAGTCAACAAATCATTTGAACCACTGTCAGTACAATGGCAAAGTGAGCAATAATAAACTAATAATCAGTTAACCGATGTGCAAGAAAGATGAGCAATAGCGAACTTCAGCAATCAAACAGCATCATACACATGAGTCCAGATACTCGTGACCTCGAACCGAATGCAGAATTGCATCACGAGTTCCACCAAATAAGAGCACACCAAAAGCTCATAATTGACAATGCTGGAATAGTCTCATCATCATGATCAACGAAGAACCAATGTTGATATCCCATCTGGCGCTCGGCGCCCAGACTACGAATGGCAGATCCTATCTAGCCTAGACTACAATGCCGCTGATGACGTCAACAGCTCCCCAAAGTACGAGCAGATCTCGGCCACTGCCGCACGCTTCAAACACCAGGTATGTCTCTCATATCACCCACAACATCGTTCCCCAACTCACAGATGCCACTTGCACCCAAGGACCACCATGCGCCCCATCCAGCATACAGCAGCGCAGCTCAGCTATGGCTGCCTGCTCCTTCCAGCTCGCCCGTGAGCGTGTGAGCCTGGCAGGCGATAGCGCAGCAGCGCTTGCGCACAAAGCAGCCAGTGCCCGAATATTCAATGGGGAGGCAGGCCTTTCCCTATATCGAAGTGGCCTGCCGCTGCATGCAGTAGTGAGGTACTGGGCCCTCGCCCAGAGGCTTCCGATAGGCCCCACGAGGCTGAGCCTCAGTCCGAAGTAAACAGGCCCAGGGCCTGTGGCGGTTATCAACCAACTGGTGCTGCGCAACTGCCTGAATTTCCTCAGTTGCGTGGTAACCCCAAAATGGCCTGTAGGGCCTCGGTCGTGCCTGCCTTCACTTAGGGCGGTCGACAGTGTAAAAAAATAGGCTCTGTAGGGCATATCGAGGCCCTATGCCTCGCAGATGCTGTAAATGAAAATGGCCAATGGAGACGTTTAGACAGAGGATACACACAAATAACACCAAGGGATCCAACAGTTCCCTAAAGTTCCATAAGGAAAAGAAAAAAACAAAAAAAAATAAAAATAAAACCCTAACAGAGAAACACTTTCCGTCATTCCGAGTTAAAATGAAGAGCTCAACAAATCCAACGAAATGGCGGGGGGTTAGTTATTAATCCAAACAAACATGACAACCCTAAAGCACCTACATTCATGGCTACAAAAACAAGAAAAATTTCAAAAAAAACTTAAAAAAGCAAAAAATCAGGGCAATATGAAAGTTTCAGTGCAAAATTCGGTGAAAAGAAAAACACCCCCGGTTAACCACGTGTGCAGATTCTGAGGGCGTCTCCCCTAAAGTTCCATAATAGAACAGTTCCCTGCAATTCCACAGATTCTGGTGGCATCTCCACTCCGAACTAACAGGCACAGACTCCACCGCTTGTGCAGGCCCCCGTCAATTAGTGTCATTTGACGAGTAACCAAAATTAAAGGAGACGGATATAAGAAACGAAAGGAGAGTAATAGTACTGTAATAGCAAGCAATCAAGATTTTTCCTGACCCATTCCAAACGGTTCCAAAGATCCTTACAGACCCATAAATTTCTGCAGTTCCATAATTCTCTGGGGCTCATAGTCCCCAAGGTTGCCACAGCTACCTGCTGTCCCAAAGTCCTGTGCGATGCTGCAGTTCTAAACTTCCCGCGGGCCCCTCTTCCGAAATGAGCACAGTCAAATGGAACTTCAAGACGTCAACAGTTAAGAAATGGGGAGCGAGAATTGGGAAAGAAAAACGATTTGGAAACAGCTTTCAATGCTACGTTGAAGCTATTCCAGAAAATAGTTCTGTAAATTCAGAGCCAGGTTCGACAATACCATCATCCCTCCATTCATAGCTCCGTCAAAACCACTGCTTCCACAATCTCCCCTTACTTTTTCATTCCGTGCTGAGCTTTCATAATTGATAACAAGTCGCAACATGTTTGTATTACAGAATATATATGAGCATCCATGCCATGTGCACATGCCCCTGCCTCGTCCTCTCTCTCCCTTCCACTGCCTCCTCCTCTCTCTCCCTCCCATTGCCTCCTCCTCTCTCACCCTCCCATTACCACCTAGACATAGTGGCTACAAAGCTAAACCAATCTGTACAACACAGTGGCAGAGAACATCAGATAGGAATTTGAATTTTGACGTAAAGTTAGTAATTCCTTCACTCAGTTCGCTGGGTTTTTTTTTTTTTTTTTTTTTTTGGGGGGGGGGGGGGGGGGGGGGG